TATATATATACCCAAGCACACACAATATTTAAAGAAATATTTAAAAAGACATTCCAAAGCCAGGTATTTTTAAGAATATCATTATAATAGGCCTATGGATTAGGACAGAGAACTTAATCCACAGAATCTTGACCAAGAAGCAAACTAGAAGGAAATCTTGACAAGATAACAAGTGATAATTCACTGAGATGTATTTACTATACTCTAGAATAGCACAGGATTTAATAAAGTGAACAAATGAATGATTCTTCATCTTTATCTTAGAGATGAATTAAAATAAAAAAAAACTAAAGCAGAAATACTATCAGTTTCCTAGTTTTTTTCCTCTTCCAGTTCTTAAATGTTAAAAAATATGCACCAAAATTAGAAGAAACTGTCAATTTTCTACCGTTTCTGGTCTATAAAGGGCAGTTTTATATAGTTAACTAGGCAGTATTCTGTTGAAAACAGTAAGGTAGGAAAGGACTGCTTCAAGAATCCTAGCAGCTCAATTTTCCCACAAGGTCGCTGTACAGACAATTTCACAAGGATAAAGACAGTAATCCTTCATTGCACTTGAAGGAAAGATCAAAAAGATTTTGCTTTTAAACTAGTTTTTTTTATTACATTTCATTTGTGTGGGTTAATTCACATATATACATACCACTGCACACATAAGGAAGTCAGAGGGAAACTTGGGGAATTCTACCTGGGATGAAATTCTAGTTGTCAGACTTAGTCAAATGGCTTTATACTTGGAGACACAATGCTGGCGCTAAGTATAAGGGTTCTTATGTCAAATAGTTTTTGAGTATTACATGGGTTGAAAAGGGCCAGCTTTTCTGTGTGTTAAGAAACCATATATTGTATGACTACTTTTGTGTGGTATTGGGGATATCTAAGGAAACAGACACATGGGAAGGAAATGTCTTCTTCATTCGCTTGTTGTAGAGCAAGATGTAAAGACCGAAGCAGAAAACAGTTTTTTACAGCATTTCATTCGTCAAGGCTGTCATTTACCTGCAAGGTTTTTCAATGTGTTTAACTCTTTCTCCAAACTCTCTAAAGCTTGCTGATCTTCTGCGTTATCTAGGAAAGGCTCATTCTGGTCAGTGACGTCTATGTATTCAATTTCTGAAATTTCAGAAGCAGCTCTGGATAGGGGTTGAGCAGCTACACTTCTTGATCGGGGATAAGAGGACAAATGAGAGCTGGAGCCTTTGCGAGCAGAACTGGAAACAGGGAAGTTCGCTGTAGAAGGTCTCTGGGATTTCTGGCCTGCGATGAGAAAAGGAAGCAGACAGCTGCTTTAAGAGCCCAAGTGTGTATCGTTTGTTTAATTTAGTGTGTTCATGCATGTGTATGTGAGAACATGCACACAAATGGGTGTGCTTCTGGATGGAGAGTGGAGTTCTCATCTCAGGAACACCTTCCAACTCATTTGAATGAAATCCTCTCGTTAGCTTAGGTTTACCAGTGTTTGGACAATGAGTACCACTGTTGTTCTTATAGCAACCATCCCAGCTCCCTGCCCTGGAGAAAAAGCATACACCAGCATGCCTGACATTTTTACACAGGATCTAGGGGCCAAACTCAGGACCCAGTGCTTAGACGGCACACACTTTACTGCCTGACCATCCAGCATGCACCAGCCCCTCTGTATGTTTACAATACAAATGACTACACTCCTAGACACAAAGCATGCCATAATGCTGGTGGCTTTGGCTGTCACTTATTTGAGCTACCCACAGTTAATTAATCCCAAATTACATTCACAGTGACATAAATAACTCCGCTGAGTCATTTTTCAATACTCAGGAAAAGAGAATCTAATCTACAGCAGTTTAGGCAAAATGCCCATTCAATAAGCCAGCTTCAGAGCAGCCTAGCATGCATTCTCCGCTCCAGTCCATCCGACAGCTGGATGCCCTTACGTGTTCCTTAAATTCTAGAAAAATAGCGCACTGCATTGGAGAGGGGAAAGATAGGATACACTGACATGTAACCATATAGAATCAAAGGGAAATTTAAAAGTAAAAAGCAAAATGGTAACTAGAGAAGTCACCCTGTATAAACTTAAGAATCAGTTTGTCTTCCTTCCTTCTTCCCCCTCTTAATCTATAGTATGTGAACACTCTCATGAGCATCTGGTTGTAGAATGTAAATAGTTCATAACCACTCACCATAACACACAGAGGGTACTGACTTAAAAGAGCATTGCAGAAATCAGTTTTAAAAATGATTTTGCTAAATGAAATTATGAATAAATTAAGTCTCTGACCCTTTTGTGACAGTGCAAAAAAAGAAGTTTTAAAGAAAGTGAATCAACAGGCATATGCCTATGTGTTCATTCTTGTTAAAATGCCCTCAAGGAATATTTTGATGATCAGAATTGAAAAGTGGTCTCCCTTTATAGAATGTGGACTGATTCAATAAGTCATTCATAGTCAGAAAGCAGCACTCTGCCCCCTCACCCAGAATTATGCCGTCCCCTAGCAGAACAGCAGCTACGGCAGTAATTCTTTACAGAAATCAAACATCCCGGATTCTCAAGAAATATTGTTCTTTCTTCTGTGTTATGGTGCTGCATCAAATGCAAAATGTAAAAGAATTTATATTGCTTATTGAAACAGAGCAAATAAAAGGAAGAAGTTATTAGTAAGGTCTGATATTTTGACAGCAGCAGCAACAGCAACAAAGGGAAGTGAGAAAACTATCAAATTCCATGGATGCCCTTGAGATAACTCAGGCCTGCACTGGCTGGTGCTTTCAGCAGCATCTGGTTACCACTGAATTTGAAGCTAATTGATCTCAATTGAAAGAAAACGTACCCAGGGGATAGATCAGATATGCTCACCACAGAGCAAGAGGACAGACCATCTTTCCGGCTGGAAATATGCTCCACTATAGTTTGGAGTCGCCGAAACACAGAGATTTTTTTTTTATTTATTTTCCTTGAGGTAGACTTATCATTCACTTTAGAATTTTATTCCTGAACATACTAATATCATTGTTAAATTTAATACTCAACACAACATGAAAGATACCCCTGATGAAAAATGGCAGTTGAAGCTATCATCCCCTACTAAACACACACACACACACACACACACACACACACACACCTACCTGTTTTTGGAGCAACTGGTGCCATCATCAGCAATGGAGTATCAGAACATGATTAATATTGATTTCTGTCAGATTCTAGATATAATAAATTCTCTGTGGTAGTGGTTTAATTATATTCTCTATGCTTAGTATTGTAACTAGACTAACTATTGAAAAGACAAAACATAGTGACGTACTGGACACAAAACTATTGATGAGGTTATGACACATAAATCAATCACCAAATAATGCTACTGTTATTCTATGTGTAACATAGAATTTGATGACACAATTATAGCATATGCTTTGGAGTAGCATTTTTTTCTTTCTGTGCAGGTGTACAGGGGCTAGGGGTCAATATAGAATTCCTTCTTCAGCCACTCATATTTTTGAGACAGTATTTCTCAAACTGATTCAGTTTAGACTGGCTGGCCACGCTAGCTCCAGGGATCATCTTGTCTCTCCTTCTCTAGTGTCTGGGTTATAGGAATACTCTGTTGTCCCTGACTTTTATATGAGCTCTAGCATTATACTCATGTCTCAATGCAAACTTGGAAAGTAATTTATCAACTGAACTGTTCTCCAGCCTCCTTGGGTAGCATTTTAGTAACAATATTTTTTATCAAAGATCCCAATACTTTAACCATGAATTACATTTTAAAAATTATAATACTGTTACTCTGCATATTTCAAAGCATTACTATTAAAAATAGAAATATTTTCTAAGATTTCTAGAAACATGTAATCATGGGGTATGGGGGAAATACTTAGCTAGGTTGCTAAGAAACATATTATGTTACTCACTGAGTCAGAAATCAGTTTGTGATTTGACACATAACCTAAATCTCACCCTCAAAATACAGGATTAGTGTAATGTCTTAAATTCCATCCAACTCTGAGAACCAGTGAATTAATACTTAATTCAATGATAAAAATCATTTATTAACTCTTAAATCTGCCAAATTCTCTATCCAAATCAAGATATTCTAAAACAAATCAGATATTGTCTCTGATGTCAATTTGCACCAAAATACTAGAACCAGCCTTCACCACTAAGGAATCACCAAAGAGTAAACAGGCTACTATTTGCTTTCTGACCAAGGAAGAATGCATGAGAAATATAAGTCGTGTTATACCATGGCTTCCAGAAGGAAGAGTCAAGGAAGGTGAAGGAAGAGTGAAGGTAAAGAAAGAGTGAAAGAAGGTGAAGGACTTGGGGACCAGCAATATGTAGGGTGGCCTCAAAGACCTCACTGGAACAGCATCTGATCTGAGATGGCAAGCATTCCCAGGAGGATCTAAGGATGGAGTGGGAGTTTGCAAAGCATCCTGTATGAAAGAGAGAAACACATCCCTAGGCTAAAAATAATCGTGTGATCTGCCTTAGAACATAGAGGAGCCAGGGAGAGACCGGGCTGGGAGGAGATGCAGTGGGGAGAGTGGAGGGAGCACATCAGGTAAGAATTATTCTTCAGGAAGGTTGTGTGTGTGTGTGTGTGTGTGTGTGTGTGTGTGTGTGTGTGTGTGTGTGACCTTCCACAGGTAGCTGCAGTATTCTTTTAGTCAACTAAATGTCACAACCTTTGTTCATTTTAAAATATAGACCCCATAAGTTATAAAATATATAAACTAATCTCCTGGCTGAAAGCATAAACAACCTACTCATTTATTATAAACAGAATTTGTTAGAAAACTAATCATATTAGGAGAGTTTTTCAAAGAGTAAAAAGGGATTTTGGAGCACAAGCCAAAATTTAACATGGTACTGGCTGGTTTTGTGTGCCAGCTTGACACAAGCAAATGTCACCAGAGAGGAAGAAGCCTCAGTTGAGAAAATGCCTCCATGAGATCCAGCTGTAAGGCATTTTCTTAATTAGCGATCAGTGTGGGAGGGCCCAGTCCTGGGTGGGTGGTTGTGGGCTCTCCAAGAAAGTGGGCAGAGAAAGCCTGTGTAAGCAAGCCAGTAAACAGCTCCCCTCCCTGCCTCCAGGATCCTGTCCTGTTTGACTTTTTGTCTTGACTTCTTTCAGTGAAGAGCAGCAAAATGGAAGTGTAAACCAAATAAACCCTCTCCAATCCAACTTGCTTTTAGGTCATGGTGTTTGGTGGAAGAAATAGAAACAGACATCCACAGAGCACTCATTAGGAGAAATGAAAGTTTAAGTGGCTAAATTTGGGCTGCATTTAGGGGAAGGTAGGCAGCATTTACAAATGAATACATGAAGCTAGTGCAAGTCAACTTGACTTAAGTGTCCTGCTGAAGGTGCCCCACAGTGTTGCATACAGTCACAGGAAGTTTTGAGGAAGACTGAATGAGGAAGAGGCTTGCCTCTAAACATGTATGTATTCTATACATTTTACCTTCGCAGATATTTTGGCAATTAAAATTCCTACCTCTACTGGCATTAGTTCAGAGTATAAAAGTCTCTGTAGCTTGCTTCACTGCCAAGAGCATTTAATTTTATTTCAGGCCACTACCTCTGTTCATTACCCATTTCCTCACTCCCTTACTGGTTACTGTTATTATTTAAAGACTCAACTAAAATGTCATATGATCTCTAATATCTGACATACCTATTTTATCATCTCTTCCAAAAAATACTATAAGTGCATGCGCGCACACACACCACTATTATAACTAATATACTATAATTTAACTTGTATGTCCTTATATTTAGCAGTTTTCTCAAAATAGAACTTTTGAAGATTCTACCGTAACACAGCAGAGAATGACTGACAGATGCAGATCATCAGGTGTCTTAATTCTGTATAACTCAACATCTTTAATGATGAGATCAGCAAATTTGCATTATAACATGTTTTCTAGTTGGTGTTGATACTGGCATCTGGGAACCTTTGGATGGCCTCTAAGCTTAGTGTCTAGCCACTGCCAGCCACTGGGGATAAAAGGGAAGTGGCTGGCCTAGGACAGGTGCTACATTCAAGGTGTTTCATAGTAAGTACTCACTGATGGATGTGCCCCAGATACCTAAAAGCTTTTGGCTATTTACTTGGGAAGATGTGTCTTAGTAACAGAGTTCTCACAGCAGGTGTCTAAATGTATTTTCAACAATACATAGAACTTAAAACACAGTTCTTTCTCCCTGCTCAGGAGGCAGGAAGCAGAATACTTGAGACTGCTTTTCAATTTGATGTGACAATAGGCATCTAATTATAGAGCTCCAAAAAGTTTAATCACAAATCGATAGTTTGATACTAAAAATTTTATATCTGACAGGAAATCACGACAAACTCAAACGGAAAGGATTAACGCTAGCTGACGGATTTAGGGCAAAAAAGATATATAAATCTTAGACAAGTGAACAACTCATATGTAATTAAATTTTTGTCTTGAAAAATATTGTTTCTTTTCTTTTTCTTTCTTTCTTTTTTTTGCGGGGGGGGGGCTTGAGTCAGGGTTTCTCTGTGGTACAGTCCTGACTGTCCTAGAATTCACTCTGTAGCCCAGCCTGGCCTCGAACTCACAGAGATTCACCTGCCTCTACCTCTCTAGTGCTGGGATTAAAGGCATGCGCCACCACCACCCAGCTTGAAAAGAGTTTTTAAACCAAAGCAAATAGCATTCTTGTCAAGTATTCCTCCTTCGTTGCAATCTTGCTGAGACCAGGAACAATACCCATGCATCCTCTGTCCCCAGACCCTCACATGGTGCTAACATGCTACACATAACTGTACTGAACTGATTTAAATTTTTCTTTTATGTATATATATATATATTACAACTACATATGAAATGCAGAATAAAGCAGATATACTTTGGCATGTATTATGGAATAGGAGTAATATGCTAACCCTACGGAGGGTAAATGAAGCAGGAAAGTAACTATAATAGAGAGCCAACAGATATATATATATATATATATATATAACTGTGTACACATAACACTAAGTAAATAAATGGAATCATAATCTTTAAAAATAAAAGAACCCACTGTAAAAAATATAGAACATTAGATTTAAGTACAAATGATATCGACCCTGGTCCTAATGCAACCTCAATAAAGTTCAGTGATTTTTACAAATGGGTATAGATAATCACAAGATCTGTAGGTCTCTTTCAAGTCTCTCTCCTTAGGACTTAAAGAATCCTATGGAGTAGGAAGCAGAGAGATAGAAGGAATCAGAGGGCCTGAGGACACCAGGAGAACACGTCCCACTAAATGAATTAAGCAGGGTACATATGGGCTTACAAACACTGAAGGAGCAAGCACCTGGCCTGCAAGGGTTTCTGCCAGGTCCTCTGCGTATGTGTTATGGCTGTTACCTTGGTGTTTTATAGGACTCCTCACTGTAGGAGCAGGTGAGTTTTTCACTTTCTTTGTCTGCTCCTAGGACTCCTTTCTTCCTGTTGGGTTGCTTTGTCCTATCAGCTTTGGTGTGAGGGCTTTTGCCTTGTCTAATTGTATTTTATTTTGACTATTTGGTTGTTGGCTCTTGGAGGCTTATTCTTTGTGAAGAGAAACAGAGGGGAATGAATCTGGAAGAGCTGGGGAAGAGGGAAATTGTAGGAGTAAAGAGAGGGTAAAATGTGGTCAGGATGAATTGTATGAGAGAATGTATTTTTATTTAATGGAATGAATCAAGTAAAGCATATGAAATAAAGCATAAAAGCAGCAAAACTATAAAGAACTTGTATGGATATTCTTTGAGGGTTGCTCAAAGCATATCATATTCTGAGCTATATTTGCAATATGATTCATAATATGTTACTGTGGAAAATAGCTAAACAATATAATCTGTCTTTGAGAGAAATAATGAGTTCATTTGTTGGCTAGATTTTCTGCCTTTAGATTTTGGAGTGGGGTATAACGGCAAAGAAAAAACATTTTGGATGACTAATAATAATTGGGCAAGAATCAAAGAAGCAAAGAGAGGAGGCCAGCAACATGATACTGCTGCTTTCCCATTGACTGTACCTGTCTTTTGCTGTTGCAGATTAGGAAGTGGATTTTCAGCACTTGGCAGATCATGCAAGGCATCTGCACCATCAGCATGCTCACTTAAGCTGCTGTCTGGGATCCACACTTTGTCTTCTGAAACAGGAAGATGATAACGTAAAACAAAGTATAAAATAAGGTAAGGTCCACAAACTTTAATGTTCAGTGAACGTAGTAGAAGAGACATGGATGGAATGTTAAAGCCAGAAGATGGGGAGAAGGAGCATAAAATGCTCTTCTTCATGTGCTGCAACCATTGCACTCATGACCTGAGAAGAACTGCTTTTATCTTTCTCTATTCTATATACCTTTCTTTACTTCTAACTCCATAACTTGCCGTGTCACTGGGTGGCTGGCCTCTGATGTCATCCTCCCCTCCTTCTTTGGCTCCTTCATCTTCTCTTTCCAGATTTCTCCTCCTATTTACCCTCCTTGCCTCCCAGCCCCACCTATCCTTTCTCGTGCTTAGCTACTGGCTGTTCACTTCTTTATTAGCCCAATAGGGTATTTTAGACACATAAAGTTACACAGTTTCAAGAGTTAAACAAATGCAGCATAAAAGAAAGGGTTGCTTTCCTTTATAGACATAATATTTTAACAGTGATTTTCCAACTATTTCCCCTAGAGTTTGAGAAGTATGGGACATACATAAGATCAAAGATAAATAGATATATAGTGACTTACATAGTCTCATCATATTTTTTACACTTTATTTTATAAAATGTAATTTTTCCACATTCTTCCACATGATAAAACTTGCAACACTGTACTAAATAAAATATACTGGTCTACTTATATGAATGAGTTAAGCAGAATAAAAAAAATGATACAAGAAGACTGAAGAATGGTATTAGCTGGGGGTTAATGAGAGGCTAATGAGTTATGTTTAATGAGAATAGAGTTTTGATCTAATAAGATAAGACGTGTTCTAAAGACAAATGGTACTGATGTTATATGTCATTATGAAAGTAAACAGTATCACTGAGTTGTATACTGAAAAACAGTCAAAAAGCAAGTTTAAGTTATTTGTGTTTTAGAACAATAAATGACAATACAAATATTTCAGAAAAAAAACAAATTACAAGTAAATCTTAGAAATTAAGGAGATTTTAATATTTTTATGTTGTGTTTTAAGGCAAAATTTAAAGTGCCGTTATATATTGCTTAGGTGATGAAGTGCTTCGGAGATTTACTATTCTGTGACATTGAAATAAACAAGGCTCTTAAATTCTTAACACGATCTCCCTCCTACATTATTGTTGTCCCTTCCTTACTTTCTGAGCCGGGTGGCCCAAAGGTCATCTCATTCCTGAGCAGAATTTACCTGAGAGTGTGATCGTGGAACAGGGATGGCTGCCTCGTATACTTGGTGAAGGAAGGGAGCCGAGTCTTTCCTTCTTACCGACTGTAAAGAACTTCTCAAGTCCTTGATACCGTTCATTTACAGGTTTTTTTCTGAGGGCTATGTCTTGTAACAGCTGGAGAACATTTAACAATTTACTTTCTAGCTCATGGAAACAAAGTCATGCATTCATTCATTGAGCAACTTATTATGACCTTGAAAGCAGTTCAGCTAGAATAACTTTCAGAGTGTAATAGAGAAAGAAAACAATACAATATTTAGATCCAACTGGATCCGAGCAATGAAAAGTTGGAATTATAAACTAGAAGTGGTAATCAATCTAAAATTACAAAATAAAACATTTTTTTCTTTCTGTTCTCAATCTTTCATTTTCTTCCTTTAGTCCAATGGTTTCCTATACTCCTAATATTGTAATCCTTTGAGACAGTTTCTCATGTTATGGTGACTCTCACACATAAATGAATTTTGTTGCTATTTCATAACTGTAATTTTGCTACTGTAACAAATGGTAATATAAATATCTGATTTCTATCCCTGTGAAAAAGTCATTTGACCCCCTGGGTGTCTCAACACACAAGTTGAAAATCAGTGTTTTAGTACATTTTCATGTAAATTATGCAGGAATGAGGAAACTCTTACATATGCCTCACAACTAGTGTCTCTATTATAACTATTATAAAAATAATACAATTGATGTGGGATGTCCTTCACTAGACTCACAAGGAACACAATCTGATGCAGAAGCCATGGAGGGTTGTTCCTTACTGGCTTGCTCCTCATGGCTTACTGGGCCTGTTCTCTTATAAAACAAAGAACCTTCAGCCTAGGGATGGACCCCAAACCCTTCCCAATCAGACACTAATAAAGTGCCTTACAGTGAGATATTAAGGAGATATTTTCAAATCCGATGTTTCCTTCTATCAGATAACTCTAATTTATGTCTAGTTGACATAAGAGTAACCAGCACACATAGAGAGATCATTTATTTAAAAAATATGAATCCTAAAAGGAAACAAGTAACAATTACCACAAACTATGTATGTGTTTCAAAATACCCTTTATTAGGATAATGGAAAATGCACTTTATTGTTCAATAAAAATATCTGTATATTTAGGTTATTATATCAACTGAGTATATGGGTTCTTCAAAGCCATTTGATTGACTTTTCACAAATAAGTTACTATAATTGGTTCACCATTTTTTTCTGATTTCTGAGTTTATATTCTGAAAAACAGTGATTTTCTAATTTCTCCATCAAAAGCACACTAGTCTTATGAAGTCATTAAGGAATTTTATTCCTTTTTATTTGCATAACAGATTGAGTGATTGGAATAGAACATAAATCACTTAATGATTTATTAAATTGATCTACAGTCTTGCTTTGTTTCATTGGAAAACTGCAGAAAAGCAGGTGCATTTAGCATTAGCTCAAATGTTCATTGTGTGTTCATTATATAATATGACTATTACGTTTTTAAAGAAAGTGAATTTATTTTCATTTTAAACATTGAAAAGTATAAGGACTAGGGTCTATGTCTGTTAAGATTCTTCTTCATCAACCATTCCATGGAGAAAGATGGAAGGAAAGAATAAGAGACCAAACTTACTGTTCTAACAACTCTGCCAAATAACAAAACTACTTCCCCAACAACAGCCACCTGGCAATCCTAAGAAAACGTGCACATGATGTGATCAGTGCTTGTACACTCTACCTCTTGACTTTAATACTTGTTGCAATGCAGATAAAGTTTCCAACATCGGAACTTTGGAAGAAACAAGGAAATCATGCCATATGGCATCTGTCTCTTTAGATTATTAAATTTATTCACACTGAATTTTCATAAGTCGTATTGATTGATAATCTATGTCTCTTTTCAAAGTTTTGAATTATTTGAAAATATCCCAATGTAATAGCATTTTAAAATGATACCTGACTTTCAATTAACTATATACATTTTTGTACTTTTTGTTCCTGCCTGTACATCCAGAATTGTGTCTTACTAATCTTTTTATACTAATAACAGTTTCTAGTCTTGTTGTAATATTTGTTCTTATCATCACTGTTTCTTTCTAAATACATTAAAGTTAGTTTATTATTGAGTCTGCATTACTTTTAGTGCCAGGTCCATGATTCGTTGATTTATTTTTGCTTTCTTTAATTCGTTTATGGAATATGTATTTGTTTTTACTCACAGTGGCTTTATACCTCCCAAAAAAACTTACACTTGAGCTTAAAAGTATTTTACACTGAAAATGGGTTTAATACACCTGAGCTCTCAAAATTATACTTTATCTAGATGTCAGCAGTAACTAGAAGCCTCTGTGGATCTTACTAAATATTCCAAGACAATGAAAATTAAACTTCACAATTGAAATATGGCTCTAATAAATGTGTAATGCTTTTAACGGAATAATAAAGGCATAATTTGTAAACAGAACCATGGTAAAAGACCATCTGTACACATTTTGTAGTAATTAGTTTTTCAACTTTACATATGAGATCCTCTCTGGGAAAAAAAGAGGAGACTGAAAAACAGAGGAAAAGAGAGAAAAAATGGAATTATCCAAGATTTCAACCATCTGCGAACCTTTTATGGTATCAGGGATGCTGTCAGAAGGCTCCAGACATTTTGCTCTGAGAACTGGATTTTTTTTTATTCACAAATGCATTAGATGTCAGAGTACAAAGTCCATAACAGCTCCCTGAGCCACTTTTGACTGAGCTTTCTGAAGCACAGATAAGGTCAGATTTTCCCCCACACAGCTAGCATTCCCTAAGTGCAAGACTCCTCGCCTATATGAACAGACATATCAAACCGTCTTCACAATGACCTCTGGAAATTGGGAAGAGGAATTCTTGCTTTTTCTCCTTGCTGAAATCCACACCATTATCTACTGCTTTCTTCAGCGGGGCAGTAGGAAGACAAGTTCATTGGAAATGAGACCTTCTGTGGCAAAACAACGGCTGGGTCATTTGTGGAAATGTCCTTCGGGAAAGGATTTGAGTTTACACCCCACACACACATCAGGGCATTACTAGGAATGAGCAACACCAGTACATATATCCTGGTTTGGAAATTGCAGGCAAGAAAGTACACCCAACTGCATAGGAACATACAGACCTATGCAAAAATTATAGCTTTATGGTTCCATTCCCATGTCAGATATTTTATAGACTTGGCCCAGATCTGTGCAGATCAGTTTCTTTCATCTTGCTGCGCCTGTGGTTAATTCTCTTAGTACCAGATCCCTCCCACAGTATCTGAGAAAATGTACAAAAATCTGGAGTTTTGAAGAAGTCTCAGTTCCAATTTTATATTTCAAAAGCACTACCTTTTTGACAGAACGGTGCACACACACACGGAAAAATCCAGACTATGCCAAACAGAATTAGCATGAACTCAAGTTCTGTTCCCCCATGTGTTTTGGGGATTGTTTCTGTTTAGGTTGCATAAATGGATTTTAAATTTTAAGGCTTATAAAACGGTTGATTTACTTGATTTACAAGGCATTTAGTACTAATAATTACAGCTACAATAGACCTCTACTAATTACAATGGAGATTCCAAAACAGTTTAAAAAGAGGCATGAATGCAAAGATGAGCTATGTTGTTTGCTCCACTACTTCTTCCTTAGCCATATTCCTGAAATCATGACTTTCTTTACCTGCATCATAGACAATGGTCCTTTTCTATGCACCTTAACTGATAGTATTTCCAATAATAAATGGATTGATGCACATATGTGTATATATACATATATAATGCAAATGTGTGTTTCCACACACATACACACACACACACATATATATATATATATATTAGACTGCTGCATTAAACTCTATAAGAGAATTGTGTTTGAAAAAGAACCATTTTTCTTATTATGAATATGTAGTGGTTCCATTTCTGTACCATTTGTTATAGAAAAATGCTCGTTAAAAGGACATTTATCTAGCCAGGCAGTGGTGGCGCATGTCTTTAAACCCAGCACTTGGGAGGCAGAGGCAGGTGGATCTCTGTGAGTCTGAGGCCAGCCTGGCATACAAGATCTAGTTCCAGGACAGGCTCCAAAGCTACAGAGAAACCCTGTCTCAAAAAAAGAAAAAGATATTCATCTTATAAGATTTTGTCAGATGCAAGCCCCTAGGGTCTGTTTCCATACAAATCATGCTTTAAATATCACAGTATAAGACAGCACATTTTAACTTCAGTAGAAAATAACACTCTGATATATATATATAAAAAACATCATTTTCTCAACATTATCCTTATAAACTGTAAATTAATAAACTTATTATGTATTTACCGGTGGTGTCTTTGTAGTTTTTAAATCTTCAAAGTTAGGCTTCTCCTTCAGATTGCTACCTTCCAAGGATATGCTGGTATCTTGAGATGAATTCCCCTCTATGAAGGATGTATGTAAATCTACAGGTGGCTTAGAATCCTTGCTCCAAAATGACATGTAGGAATCACCAGAATTTTGGTTGTTTTCTGGGTCTGTATTTTTTTCTGTTACATTTTGTTCAAAAGAGCTGGTTTCTCCTACTTTTTTGAGCTCATGAGAAGAAAGACCAGACTCCATACTATTGCCAAAATCTGTATTTGAAGAGCCTGTTGTTGAAAACACATTTAACAACATCCTAATATATTAAAAACATAAACTAAATTGTTAACAAAAGTCCAGAATTAATTCTTTTAACCTATGAATCTTATTTTACCAAAATTTATTTACATATTTTCATATTTTACCTATTTGGGCCATATAGTACAAATCTGTGGACAAGGAAGTGAATTAAGTAGATTTAAAACAATGAGGGGCAAAGTAGTGACATCTGCTCTACAAAGACACAAAATGAGCAAGACAATATTAATCATCACCGTGTTATGCCTGCCCCGAATGTCCTCATTTAGATCATTAGTCTTCGCTGGGAGGAAGAGTGGAATTATCGCCACTCTCCTGTAAAACTGTCAGTGTATAGACAAACCTCAACCAATTAGACCGTGAAGTGAAACTTAGCAGACAGCATTAGTCATGCCCTCCCTTCTTTGAACACTATGCATGACTAAAGTAAATTCCGGGTGGAAAAGCACCGAGCAAGGTGCTAGATTGTGGAAAATGTGAGAGACTTTGATCAAGACTTCTATGGTATAAATGGCAGACTGCAATCCCAAAATGTTGCCTGTTATTACCAAATATTTATATAACTTTGCAATTATACATAGTAAATGAAAACTCCCCTTCACACTGCTGTAATTAATAAAATCATTAGTATTATGAGAAATGAGATAAATGTATAGAACAGATATATACTACTGAAAGAAAGTCAGGAAGGCTGGAAAACAGTGAAAGATCAACAATAATAATAAATAATGCTTATCTCTTAGATGGATCAAAATATAAAAATATCAGATTCATTAGAATAAATGATGGCCTTGTGTCTTGAAAAGTATGCAGATAATTTTAATAGTGTATTTGAAGACTGAAATATACTCCTGGTGAAAACCTTCTCATAATGCTCTGTAACTAATAATGTAATAAAGCCTGTATATAAATAACAGAAGCCAGAAAATGAGAGAAAGCCTTTGGGGAAATATTATACCTGACAAAGAATATTATCAAAAATAAAGAAAGCACTCCTAAAATTCTAGAATAGCCAAACAAACTAAAATGGGCAAAGTGTGAACAAATATCTCATTAAAATAACATAGGGGATAGATATATTAGAGTGCTTACCTAGAAGAATATATAAAGATTTAGTTTAAAATCCCAGCAACACACATGCGTGAGTGCACATATACACATACACATGCACATACATGTACACATGTGCACATATGTCTAACAAAATCATATACAGTTAGTAAATAAATATATCAAAAATATTAACTATCAGATTTCACTAGGGAGCTGGAAGTAACATCAATAGCTAGTGAATACGATAGCGAGAGGAATTTTTTTCCATGAGGAAATGCAAAATCTCTCAGTTACTCTGATAGAAACACTTTGGTTTAAATATGAACTGCCATCCACAGGCTCATACATTTGGACACTTTTTCTCCAGCTTGGTTGCAAGGTTATAGAACTTGTGGAAGGGAGAACCTTGGGGGAGGAAGTACGTCACTAGGGGTGGGACTTGAACTTTTATTGTCTGACCTCACTTTTTGGTTTTCCTCTCTGCTACCTGTAAAGAGATAAAATTTGATGATTCTGCTTCATGAACAGCTGGGGATCCTCCTACCATGTTTTCTTTGACACAGTGGACTCTACATGTTCTGTAACTGCAGTCTAAAATAAACCTTGTATTCCCAGTCATCATTGAGTCACAGAAAGATAACTCATACATGGAATCTAGTAGAGGCTATATTCATAGTTGCCAAGCACTGGAAACAGAATATTCATAATTAATGGGAAAACTAAATAACTTGAAGTTCACTCATACAGGGGAATATTCCTCAGCATTTTGATGTGGAATGTTGCTAGTGGGGGAAGCTGTGTAGATGATGCGAGTGAAAAGGAAGTATGGGGGTGCTGTGCACTTCCTGCTCAACTTTGATGTAAATCAAAAGCATTTCTAAGCAAAAAAAAAAAAAACATGTCTCAATGTCTATGAATTAATACACAGATACTTATGTTCACAATTTTCCCAAACCCACCTGGTAGGTGACTCTATCTTAGAGACGGTAACAACCAGATATGGGTCCACAACACTAAGTTGCAACGTGCATATGTAGTTCATACTGGTCAGGCCAGTTGAAAAATGTCAGGGGAAGTAGGAAACCACTCGTCTTCTTCCCCTTCTGCTGGCCAGTCAGCTTATTGTCAGATGTAAATCAGTTATTTTAAAGAATGCCCTTGGGTATCCGTCAAGTTCTTCAGATATATACCTTCTGGTTTCCTGAAAATCTTGGGTTTATAAAATATAGTCTCTGAAAAGAAGCTTAAAAATCATCCAGTAACTAAATTAGAGATTAATAAAAGGAAGTCAGGAAAAGATGATGGCATTTCAAGGTGACACAGATTGATGTACAGATATGAATATTAAATCTGATGACCAAGTCAGGGCATTTCAGTGTTCCTCTGTAGATAATGATCTTAAAACTTAGGCCAAAAAAGTCAGAAAAATATCTATCCAGTGTTCAGATCTACAAAGTTCAAGAGAGCTAGAGGTAATGATAGCACAGAAATAAAAATGGAATGACTTTCTTTGGCAAAGGATTTATCTCACAGAAACTTCACGTCATATGTTTTTATGGAAAGCTATTTTTTTTGGGGGGGGGGGGCTTATTTGGCTGACACTTCTACATTACTGTTCATCACTGAAGGAAGTCAGGACAGGAACTCAAACGGCAGAATCCTGGCAGGACCTGATGCAGAGGCCTTGGCGGGGACTGCTTACTGGCTTGCTTCACATGGCTTCCTCAACCTGCTTTCTTCTTTTTTTAATTGATTTTTATTGAGCTCTATATTTTTCTCTGCTCCTCTCCCAGTTTCTTCCCTCCCCCCCCCTCCCCTTCAACCCTCTCCCAAGGTCATGAGCACCATGGAGAGCTATTTAATTGTATGTGAAGGCAATGAAATCCCACTCAGACTTTCATCATGTAAATTTCTTCTATGTAAGTTTAAATGCTAATTTACCCCATAATAAATTTTATAGAGCCCCATATAGATTGTAATTGCTTATAAATACAACACTGTTATCTATTGATTAAAAGATTATTTACAAGAGAATTACATGTTCTCAATCAATTTTCTTACAAGTATCACTTTTTCTTTTTTTATAATGACCAGAAAAATAAGAAATATGTTCCTGGGCTACTACATCTTTGGTATTATTAAATTAGCCACATTCATTATTAAGATATATTAAGCAAAAAGGAGACCATTACCTTTTAAGCCATCCTTATGGTATGTAGAATTTGTTCTCAGACAAAGACTTAAGAAGTCTGCTTTTCCTCTGTTGAAAACAAGATGTTGATGGATGCCATGTTCACGTGGAAAGCAGTTCCGATCATCAGGAAATGGAGAACTGTCATGTTTTGAGAACAAGCACAAATAACAAGTTGGAAGGAATAGTCTCCGAAAGTTCCGGGTTTTTGTTGCATCAGATTAAAATATAATATTGGCTTTAAATTTTCAATAAACATATTCTATACAATACAAGCTAAGTTGTATTATTTACAAGAAATATATAATGTCATTAACTGCAACTAAACTACAAAATTCTAATAGAAATTTCCTACTTACTAATATGTTTGAATTCTGACATCTTTCATGAACATTGAAATTTGGTAAAATTTCAACCACAGCATGTCATGAACGTATATGCACCCCCATTCGGAAGTGAAAGATAAAAGCAGTATATAATACATTATGGTTGCCAACAATGTATACTTTCTATATACACAGCTGTACTGCAACATTCACAACAGACTGCGCAACCCCAGATTTTTATGTAAACTCTATAATCAAAAACTCACAGATTATTTTTAACCAAAATGTCATCTCAGGTCACTCACGATTCAAAGAAAAAGAGGTAGTATCGTTCTGTAGGTACCTACAAACCAATGTGGGAAGACTAACGCCAAACCATATTGGGTAGTTTCCTTCACCACTTTTAGCGAATTACACGGGAGTCAAAGAAGATAGAGGATAATATTGATGAAAGAAGAAAATAGGGGTCAGAATGATGATTCAGTGTGTGAGGAGACTTGTTACCAGGTCTTATAACCTAAGTTCAATCCAAAAACCTATATGGTAGAAGGGGAGAACTCCTTACAAGCTGTCCTCTGATCTTCACACGCAAGTATATGCCAACATACAGAGTACAGAGACACGTAATAAATTAGTAATACACAGGACACGTAGTAAATTATTAATTAATTACTAGATTTGTTTTAAAGAAGCAAGCAGAACTGTCTTTCATTTCCTTCAGGAAACACAATAATGGACAATAGCCTCTCAAGTACTGATCAGAAAGTGTCTCCTGTTAAAACATCTGTATCTCTGCTGTTCACCATTTGAGACCCTTTGTTCAGACAAAGAGTTGCCTAGAGTTCCCAGGCATCACTTTGATTCAGAGCTGCTGTAATACATTGGGAAGGGCAGAACCTGATGTAAATGAAGCACCATCAGAGGAGGTGCTTATCAGAAGCTGCATGTCACTGTTGAGTCACATCAAGCCTTTGTGATTAGACACCAGAAATTCTACAGTTCATAGAAAGGGGGTAATATTGAACTTTACTAGCAAGAAAAAATAGATTTCATTGTTCATATGGAAATGGCACAATAGCACAAAACTATTGTAAAGCGAGCTACTATACTTCTTTTGCCAATCACATTTTAGGCTTTGCCCTCAGAGCAGTATTATGCTAGCGGGCTCCTGAACCTGATCACTTATGTAACTTCTTATTTTACAGTTCCAAAGAAATCACAGTCAAATAGGATCATTAGAGAAAAGAAGGCTGATATAAACTATATCTGACATGGAAAATTACTTCAAATGATAATCACAAATTTCACAATAATATATAAAATAATACAAATATTAGACAAAGAAATTATTATTTTGTATGTAAAAAGTAATATGTAGAAATTTCTACATGACTTAAAAAAATTAACATTAATATATATCCAGCTAGAGAGATGGATGATAATTTCATGGATATATTAGTTGGTATTATATTTTGCTAATCTGTAGATCAAATCAACCCTACAGCCTCATCCATGTTAGACAAACAGTCAACCATGGCCCTGCCCTTTGTGACTGGTGTTTGAAGAGGGATGCTAAAAAGAAATCCAAAAAGAGTAACCAAAATGAATGAAAATAATCTTACCTTAACTGACTCTCTGCATCAGCTAATTCAACTCTGTAAGGTACAGCGTTCTCTGGTTCTTCAACGTCTGCTTCATGAGTCTTATTAAATACATGTTACATAATATTAGTATGCTCAATAAGTTCACTAGCCAGTTAAGTGTTGGTAATGTTTATATTTTTCCCTACAAATGACTCTCTAGCTAAATCACATATGTTTCAGGGAGACCAGATTCAACCGTTCTTCCTTGAGGGCACTAAATATTTCATTCAATTTTTACAATTGTCACATTTGCGACCAATAATAGAAACTTAAGCAACAACTGTCGTTCCCCGTAGATGAGTGACTAGTGCTTTCCCGGTTTTCTTACTGTCTCTCTACAATTTATTTAAAGAACCAAAATTTTAATAAAAGGTGTATATATATATACATATATATGTGTGTGTGTGTATGCATGTGTGTATATATGTATGTGAGAAAGTATGTGTGTACTTGACTAATATATCTCACTTATTTAGAGACTTAATGAAACATTGATAAAAGAAAGAAAAGCTGTAGCAGCTATCAATATAGCAGCCATAGAAAGAGCAAGATGTAGATTCTATATTCTTATTTTCTGAAACAGCAAACCCCAAAGTCAGAATGATTTGGAGAAAGTGGTAATTCAGCTATTAGATAAGTAGGAAGTCAAAACACAGGGACTGGATCACATCTGAGTCATTTTGTTTGAGCTCTGCTTGGATATCTCTGGTTCCATTGTAACTTCCAAAAATGTGCTGACATTATTGTAAAACCTCTCAAACTATAAATACTGTCTTTTCCTTTAAAGGGAAATAATATTAATGATATTATAGAAACCACATTTACAGTTAATTATATTTAAATAACATTCCATGTAATGAAACTGATCTTTTTGTGAAAGCCTTAGAAAAACAAAGAACTAAAGAGACACCAAAACTATACTCTATGAACTAACACAGAAAACATGAGTTCACACCCTATGATTCATGCCTCCATAAAAGTAGAAATGGTACATTTGCATGCAGGTCTATTCTCTATAATAAAAATTATAGTTTTATATTTATCAACCATCTGGAATCCAAACATAAAAGTCTTCTTAAACTCTAATGAATTCTTAGCAAAATCTTACTGATAATAATAAGATATCACTATTACATGTTTTCCATGTTGAAGACTTCAAACATTATCTACTTACACCATCCAGTTCTACTATTGTTAGAGATGGTGGAGGTCTTTCTATATTCAGTTTTTCTACTCGCATAAAAAGAGGTGGATATTGGACTTTGATCTCCTCAACTAGGAAGAAAAATTGGAAAACAATATTAGCAAACAACATGTCTGATAATTTGTTTTCTAGAAATATTACTGTCTACAATAAAGGAGCAGTTGTTTGTGAATCAACACGAAGATGGGAACACTATCAATTCCTTCAGCTCAGGCAAAACATAAAGCTATTGAGTTTAAAGTCAGGTACTATACCAAATAAAAGGTGATGGAGTTTAATTAGTCGAGATAAGAATGATACATGGACAAAAGTTAAAAGCATGCGTTAATAATTGCTTATTTATATAATTTTAAGCAATAAGTGTTAAAGATCTTGTTAAAGCTCAACTGACCGTCACTATCAACATCATTTTCATTCTGAGAGCTCTGTGCCTCCATAGTAGCTTCAGAGGGATGTGGGGATGTATTTAATAGTATGTTCTGAAGTTGTTCCTGTGGAGTTCTACAAAACAATAAAAACGTAATCAAAAGAGAAAAATATCAATAGAATTTTCCTGGACAAGATGTGTACTTGTCAAGTGAATGAGAATTGAAAATTAATGATGACATTTTCATCATAATATTAATCCTCAGATTATTGTGATTAATAAAATTTTAATTTAATGAAGGTTTTTCAATCAATTCCACATCACCCAAGGAGTTTTTCAACTGCATACTGTGTTTTGTTTAAAATGAAGACCAAAGTCACAAGTCAGTATTCTCTCAAAAAACGTTATGGAGTCCAAAATCCATGGCATGTTGTTGACAAAGCTAATTTGCAAGTGTATGTTTTATCTCACGCACATAGCACTATGGTAACGAGTTCTAAGGCATCCTGCGGACACTTAACCAAATATTCAGCACACCACAAGAGTGGTAAAATGGGGTCACGTTATCCAAATGTGCACTGTAATGTCTGTGGCATCTATTACCTAATTAACCTCTAGGATGGCTGCAGCCTGCTTCAAACGGCAAAGATGGAGCTTGGAACTTTTCAGAGTTCAAGAGTGTGTATTAATTGTGGAGGATGTTCAGAGGATCGTGAGGAGAAAGTCCATGTGTGCGGTGATCAAAGACAGCTGCACCACCCTCCCAGAGCCTGCAAGCACACGTGTTTGCCATTAAAAGACAAAGCTGTCTCACTGATATTGTTAACGCCAAAAGAAAGTTAAAAATTGCCCATTTTTGTTCTAACTCCTTTTGGTGCTTTCAGTGTTATTAGACATTAGATTAAATAATCTCTACTATGATCCTCATTTTGAAAGATGAAATTGAGGGGGAAAGTGAAGAACCTAGTTGTTCTAAATTACATCGGCAGAGAAAACAACAAGAGCAGGAATGTGAGGCCCTTGCCTCATCAAGCACACGTTCCTAGCTATAGTCTCATTTTGCAGTCCATAGTTTCCTGCTTGTAAATACAACAGCTGCCTTTTCTAAATATTGTACAAATCACATAAATACAAAATCTATTGTATTTCTAATCTTTATCTTTTAAAAAAATCTTTGAGAGATTCCTTCCATACAGAGTTTGACTATGATATTTATATTTGCAAGTGATATGAGAGTATACGTAAGCAACCCCAAAAATTCTACATGAAACTCTTAAAACTGATAAACACTTTCAGTGAAATGGCTAGATACAAGATTAATTCAAAATTTCAGTAGCCATCTTATGTAAAAATGATAAATGGGCTGAAAAAGAAGTCAGGAAAAAACCACGCTTCACATTAGCCACAAATAATATTTATATTGAGTAACTCTATCCAAACAAGTGAAGCGGTGCATGAAAAGAACTTCAAATATTTGAAGAAAAAATTAGAAAAGATATCAGAAGATGGAAAGATCTCCCCTGCTCATGGATCAGTAGGAATAACATAGAAAAGTGGGCATCTTACTAAAAGCATTCTATATTTCCAACACAATTTCCATCAAAATTCTAACATAATTTTTACAGACATTGAAAGAACAATGTTCAACTTCATATGGAAAAACAAAAAACCGAGAATAGCTAAAACAATTCTGTAAATAAAGGAACTTCCAGAGGTATTGCTAACGCTGATTTCAAGCTCTACTACAGAGCTAAAGTAATAAAAACAGCACACTATTGGCATAACAGACTGGTGAAGCAATAGAAATAAATTGAAGACCCAGTCATAAATCCACAAATCTATATACAATTGATTTTTGATAAAGAAGCCAAAGTTACACAAATGGTTACAAGAAAGCATCTTCAACAAATGGTGCTAACATAACTAGTCATCAGCATGTAGAAGGCAAATGCAGCCATATCTATCATGCTATAAATCTCTAAGCCCAAGTAGATCAAAGACCTCAACATAAATCTATTTACACTGAACCTGCTAGAAGAGAAAGTGGGAAATATCCGTGAATGCATTGACACAGGAGACAACTTAATGAATAGAACACTAGTAGCACATGCACTAAGATCAACGATTAATAAATGGAACCTCAAGAAACTCAAAAAACTTCAATAAGGCAAAGGACTTTGTAAATAGGATAAAAAAGTCACCTACAGAATGAGAAAAGAGCTTTACCAGCCCCACATCTAACAGAGGGCTGATTTCCAAAATATATAAAGAATATAAGAAAGCAGATATCAAAAAAAAATCAAAACATGTGATACAGATTTAAACAGAGAATCCAAAAAAATCTCAAATTATTGAATAATCCTTAAAGAAATTTTCAAAATTCTTGGCAGTTATCAAAATGCATGGTGTGGGAGGTCCTTCTGTCTATGTGTTACTTTTATTGGTTAATGAATAAAGAAACTGGCTTGGCCTATAGCATGGGAGGAGGAAGGTGGAGTTAGAGAGAAGCCATGTAGCTCTGCAAGAGAAAGACACAGGAAGTTTAGCTGGTAAGTCACAGCCACGTGGCAATACACAGATTACTAGAAATGGGTTAAATTAATATGTAAGAGTTAGTCAATAAAAAGCTAGAGCTAATGGAACAAGCAGTGATTTAATTACTAGAGTTTCTGTGTGATTGTTTCTGGGCTAAGAGGCCAGGGACAAACAAGTGGCCTTCCTCCAACAAATGCAAATCAAAACAACTCTGAGATTCCATTTTACACCTGTCAGAATGGCTAAAATTAAAAGCATTAATATCCGAACAGAATGTGGAGGAAGAACAACACTTTTCCATTATTGGTAGGAGTGCAAATACATACAGCCACTTTCGAGAACAATATGGTGATTTTTCAGAAAGTCCTGAATAAATTCCTCAAGACTCTGTTATATCATTCTTGGGCATATACTCAAAGGATGCTCGCTCAATCATACCAGAAGGAAACTTGCTCCGCTCTGCATCTTTCATAGCATCTTTATTTGTAATATTCATGATCTTACAACAACCTAGATGCCCCTCAACTGAAGAATGGATAAATAAAATGTGGTTCATTTACACTCGGAGTATTGCTTAGCTGTTAAAAACAATGACATCGTGAAATTTAAAGGCAAATAAATGGAACTAGAACTAGAAAAAAAAATCATCCTGAGTGAGGTAACCCAGAACTATAAGATAAACGTGTTTTGTACTCATTCATAAGTAGATATATGGTCTATATACTACAGTCCGCAGCTCCAGAGGAGCTAGGTAACAAGGTGGGTTCAAGGGCAGGCAGTCATATCTCCCTGGGAAGGGAAAATAGAGGAGGCTTCATGGGTGGAGTTGGGGAGATGGGATGGGTGGGAATAGGAACATGAGGGAACAGGTTGCAGGTGGACAGGGAGAGAGTACTGAAAGCAATTCTGGAAAGTGGAAGGGGGCTTTTCACAGTCAGGTAGAATCCTGGTGCAAGGAAAACTCCCAGGAATCTACAAGGATGATCCCAGCTAAGACTCCTAGAAATATCAATACATAACCTTAACTGGCTTTTTCCTGTACCAGTCAAGACTTACAGTGGAGGGATTGGGACACCAGCCACATAATCTTCAACCTATTGTCTGTCCTGCCTATGGAAAGTGCTCAGGTAAGAGATTGTAGGAGTGGCACACAATGACTAGTACTGCCTCAGGTCCATGGCCATGAGAGTCAGTCTACCTCTGACACTGCCTGGAGTGCCAGGACCACAGGTTGGATGCGCCAGCCACTTAGGATAGAACCAAACATGATTGGGAAAAAATGTCAATGTAATGATACCTAACAATATTCGGCTATACCCATAGATGGGTGATTCTGTAAGTAAAGACTTAAGAAACCTGATAGCAGGGTTAAATAACAAGGATACTACAAATTAATTATTCTAAATTCAGTATATTAAATTAGAGAAAATTTATACCAATAATATTTAAGTGCTTTGCCCATGAGTAAGCGACTAGCTAATACAAACAAAATCTTGATTTCTGTTATTCCAACTCTGGCGCCTCCCACAGAACCATGTCACATAAATAAAGGCAAAAATTCCTTTTTAACAGTAGTCACCTCTTCATCTGCTCTTTAAAATTCAGTAAATTTTTGTTGAAATAGTTTTGATCATGACTGTATGCTTGTGTGTGTTTCTGTATGTTTGTGTGTGTTTCTGTATGTTTGTGTGTGTGTGTTGTATAAACAAGTATATGAATCTGTATGCTCATGTGTGTGGCAGTGTGAGAAGGCTGGCCATTCATACATTCAACTACTCTCCATTTGATTGTACATAGTCTCTCACTGATCAAGATTTTGCCTAGTCTTTATTTTGCCTGTGTGGCCAATGTGTCCCAAATATCTGCTTATCTCTGCTTCCATGGCACTGGGATTCTTAACATTTCTATTATGCACAGCATTTTTACGTGGGTTCTGAGGATTAAGTTAGGTTCTTATGTTTATATCACAGGCACATCACAGATTTATTTATCTATCTCTCATACTCAGAATTATTGATAGAAATCTAAGTAGTTTAAAGTAAATCTGTCCAAGAGCTTGTGGCTGAGAGTTCCTAGGTCTAGGAGAGTAACCAATGTTATTATTTTGCCAAAAGACATAGTATTTATCTGCTTTCTGACCACAGATCTCTCTACCTATAGATTAATGCAACCCTCAGTCCTCATCAGAAAACCTTCTTTGAATAGTGGAGCAACAGGTTAAGAAGACTTGGCAGTGGCTGAAATGAAGAGAATAAGTGTCCGTGGTGTGTTCAGCCATAAGCGGGATATCTACCACATGTCCCCTCTTCTCAGGGATAAGAGAACAACCTGGAAGAGGAAACAGAATTTAGGGAAGAGTGGCAAGAAAGGATGTATTCTGAGGATGACAGGGTTATTGCATACATTAACACACAGTAACTGTTAGGGAAGGAGATGGTATGGGAAAGGAATTCAGGAGCCCTACCCTAGTTGAGCATCGATTGATAGTTGATAGCTGCTAGGGGAGGCTGGGTCACTTCTCTTTAGGGGTGTGGTCCCTGGAAGACTGACAATGCTCCAACAGATGCCCCAACACAACACACACAGTCAGTAGGTCAGCACTAATTAAAGAGAAAAGAAGGAAAATAATTCTCTGCCTTGAAGAACTCAAATTTTTAAATGCAAAAGAACTGGGAAATCATCAGCAGAACAGCAAAGTAGAGTTCGGACTAGGCTTAGAAAAAACTTGAAGACAAAATAACACACATGTTCAAGAATGTGCCAAAGATGACATCGGCTACCTCAAAAAGGAGATTGTTTTTCCTATAATGATGCACAGGCTTTGCAATCACTTTCCAGCCTCACTCTAGAGAGTTACCCCTGCATTTGGTCCTTCAAAATGTGACCAGAAGCCACCATCCTAGCCCCAAGTCACTCACGAGGCATCAGAACCGTGACAACTCGGAACTTAGCATCAGACCTACCAAAGAATGTGCTTTTTTCATCCTCTAGAAATCTGGAAGGGACTGAGTGTAGGAATCTCTGCTGTGTAATAAATCAAGCTTATGACGAGCCAAGTCAGAAACTTTGTTAAAATTACCAAGGATGATAACATCTACTCATCTATCATGTTGGTTTCATGTTGCAACCTTGATTTTAAATCCCTTTCTGCAGCTATGTATCTTTTTATATTTCTCAAGAATAGACTATACCATATATGTGTTTGTATATGAATTAAGTAATTAAAATTGTTGCTAGTAGTCAAAGCTTCACGGGAATTTAAAATTGCTTTAAAATTAGATATAAAAATAAGTAATATACATACAAAATTGCTTCATAAAGCCATGTCCCACAAATAAGAAACATAAATAACTTCTATTTCCTAACAAGCAGAAAAATTATACTACATACCTTCTGTGTTTTTTAAGCCATAATTTTTCCATATATGTCAGACTGTCTTCTGTAAATTCGATATTAATTGGTTCTGTCCAAATTTTCAAATTAGTTTGTACTTCACATTCTTCCACTGAGTCTATAAAAAGACACACTGCACATAATTAATGTAGCCATGACTGTAAATTATTATGTTCTTTCTTTAAATAGTCAATTGTTTGTGGAGATCAGTTCTTTGGTACCTATCTCTGTAAGGATATTTGTTATTATATTATGACATACGATGTTGATATAATATCAAGTCCAAGATGTAAATAATGTTAAAGGATTTCTAAAACATTGGTTTTAATACATGATTCTGTGGACAGTATCTTCAAAATCTCATCCAAAAAAAAAAACTATATGAGTCAAAAGCTTTACAAAAACAACATGCTCTTAAAAGAAACAATGTAAATACCATCACTGTAGAATCCTCACACAGAGACACCTGTACAAACAAAAGTATGTATTATAGCCAATTCTAATAATGTTTAAATATCATGGCTAATAAAAAATAAATAATTTATGATGAATTATATCTTATGCAGAATGAAGAGAACATCGGTTCCCACAAACGTTTGCCTTTGAAGTCCTAGACATGCAAATGCTATTATTTCTGAAGTGACACCGACTACAAAACTACTCAGAGCTACTTGGAAGCAATGAAGCATCTGAGAAAAGGAAGCTGAGAAATCCAGGACTGGTCGCTTTTCTGACCTCCAGATCCCTCCCCATTCTCCATTCTCGAGCTTGCAGCATCCTCCAGAATGAAATGCTGGAAGAAAATAGGAAAAGGGAGTGGTGAGGTTTCAAAACAAAATGTGTCGGGATTCTAATGCTAAGCTGGTCCCAACCTCATGGTGAAGACTTTAGCGGCTAGGCTAGCTTTGAGAAGCAGCCAGGTGAGAGCAGTTAAATAGGCAAAAGAATGCAGTCAGTCAAGTTCTTTGATGAGAAGGGAGAGAACTCTTAAGTGCAACAACTAGAATCTAGTAAATGGAAGAAGAAAAAGAATTAAGAATGTGAATTGTGGTTATGAACATTATAGCAGGAGGGGCAGGTGTGTGTGTGTGTGTGTGTGTGTGTGTGTGTGTGCACACCTTACTGAAGTTAAAAGAACTAAGGTAGAAATGTTGAAGGTAGGAAGAAGGAAGAGCATTTTTCAGAGAAAAGAACAACTGTGCTTGAGAAATGACTCCCAAATCTGGAAACAGTAGAAGGAAGTAGGGGGTGAAAGCAAATAGCCTGTGGTTCCCCTTTCTCAGGTCACCAGTGGCACACAGTCTCAGCAAATGAAGACAAGGCCTGGCCCGGCTTCGTGTGCTTCTCAGCGTTTTGATATTTATGGTTAATGAAAATCTCACTAGAACACTCTTTAGCTAAGTATACGTTCAGCAAGATACTTTTGTTGAAACCATGCGTGCTAGTCAATTCAAGGACACACAGATTAATGATGTGTGTCTTCCTCAGAGAAAGGCTCATGAACTGTTGCTAGGGCCTCCTCGCTTTGTTGTTGGCTCAGTGGCCTTTTTTTTCTAGGAACTGGTCTAACACTCATCTCATTGTGATGGGGGAAGTTTCCTTAATACATAGCACAAAGATCCAGAGTAGAGGAGTCCAAATAAGCCAATGAGGGAACATTTCAGCAAGAAAGATCAGACAAAAAACAGCCTTAGCTCACAGAAAAGCCCAGGGCAGAGAAAGCACCTAAAGGAGTCTGTGGATGACAAAAATTAAGGTAAAAATCTGTGACTGAAATTACTGGACAACCTAGATGTTTAAAGCATGCTGATACGCTGAGTGTTATTAAATTCAAGGATTCTTAAAGTGATTTGCAATAACAGCTATACAATTTAAGCATTGTATTTATCCCCATTATTCGAACCAAATTCTAAGTGTCTGAAAATATTAAGTGTTCATGATAAAGAGAACAACAAAATACTCTGACACTCTTCAGATGGAGTGCCAATTTATGAAAGGACATTTCTGAGTAGTTCATGTTTATCTAGTTTAGTGGAGGACAAACATTTCTGGTAACGCAGCTGTTCTCATCTCAAGTACTGACATCCCTGGAAATATATCCGGGTTATATTTCAAGATCTGTACAAGAAAATGTACGGTAGTGTTGTTCTATATGGTCAAAATGAGAAATGTTCTAAACAATAATCAACATCTAGACTGAGAAACGGTGGCACATAACAGAAAATATTGATAATAGGTGAAATGGCAACGGTACATATTTTTGTGCATGAAATGAGGCACATGGTAAGAACACTGAATATCATGGATGTCGCTGCACTTTTCGCATAGTAAAATGACAGCCTTGATATAAGGCAGTTTCCTGAGGGTACCATGGGGATACAGAAGGCTTACCTAGCTTACTGCAAGCAAGGTAAACAAATCTGTACCTGACGTGTATTTACCCATGAAGATAGATCTCTGTAGCTTTCATAAGGAAAAGTATTACCATTCTTAGTGATAGGCCATTGTTCCCTGTTCACCTAAGTGGCCTAGTGACATCCACCTAATGGCCCACCAATGTCTCTGGGTAGATTCAAGTAAACAAAGGTGCTGCAGACTACAAAATGCTACAAAGCCTAAGAGAGATAATGTAAGTCTCGAATTAGAGAGTGAAGTAACATCCTTACCCTGCCATATGAATTGTACCATTATTTTTGATTATAGCTAGTGACAGAAATAGAAAAAAAAGTGTGTTTACTGAGTCAAGGATCACCACACTAGAGCTTGTTGTCCAAATCTGACCTATCGTTTTCCTGTGACTGATTTCTGTATTCATAAATACGAGGCTTTATTGCAACACAGTACGCTCATTCATTCATGCGCTATGACCTTTTTCCTACTCCATTCAGAACATTGACTAGCTGACCTAGCTTACAGCAAATGTCTACATTCTGTAGCAGGTTAAGAGCTTCTGTACTAGTGTATCAACTTTTATAATACCTCTAAGGTTTGCAATGCAAGATTCTTTCAATATTTATGTCTAAGAAAATATTCCCAATGCACCCAATATGAAAAAGATTCAAAGCCAGGCTCTATCTTTTACTTCATGTGCAATAAATTATTATAAACTCAAAAAGTTGGAATTTAAGTGTGTTTCTGGGGTTCTGTGTATTGTCTTTTCTTCATTGCATTTCCTGGTTACATTCTACTAATAGCTGTCTTAGGGTTACTATTGCTGTGAGGAACCAAAAGAAAGTTGCAGAGGAAAAGTTTTATCGCATGTACAATCTACTGTTCACCACTGAAGGAAGTCAGGTCAAGAACTTAAACAGGAGAGGAACCTGAAGACAGGAGCAGATATGGAAGCCATGGATAAATGTTACTTAGCGGTTTGCTTCTTCTGGTTTGTTCAGCCTTCTGTCTTATAGAACCACCTTAGAGACGGCCCCAGTCACAATGGGCAAGGCATTCCTACATTAAGAACTAATTTAGAAAATGTCCTACAGACTTGCCTTACAGCCCAATGTAATGGAGGTATTTGCTCAACTGAGATTTGATCCTCTCAAATGATTCCAGTTTATGTCAAATTGACACAAAAATTCGTCAGTATAGTTCATGTGAATATGCCATAAAGAAACCTACTATTTTATATGTAAAAATTGAAACTAAAACATTGCAAAGATTGTTTGGTTCTTTTCAAGACAGGGTTTCTCTGTATCTTTGGTGCCTGCCCTGGAACTAGCTCTTGTAGACCAGGCTGGCCTCGAACTCACAGAGATCTGCCTGCCTCTGCCTCCTGAGTGCTGGCATTAAAGGTGTGAGCCACCAGCTCCAAGAAAGAAAATTTTTTAAGGAAAGAAAAAAAATGTTACAAACAAAAATCTGTGAGTTTTACTGTGGTTGTATATTTAACCTGCAAGTTATGGTTTACAGTTTCCATGCAAACATTTGTTCTCCCATCTGCTCAGTTCATGGTTCTGTTTTGGAGGTTGTGCAGTTTGTGAAGGTTGAGGCTTCACTGGAAGAAGTAAAGCCCCCGGAGGCATGCTGTGAGACACGTAGCAGCATTCTCCTTCCTGCCTTGTCTCTGCTGCCTGCTCTACTATGGTGGAAGAAACAAGGAGTCCAGTCATCTGCTCCTGTGGCCTTGAAGTCACCTGCTTATTCCCTTATTTTGATGGGCTGTATCATCTCCAACTGTGAGCTAAAATAAATTGTTCATCCTTTAGGTTGCTCTGCCACAGATTTGGTCATACTGAAAAAAAATATTATAGACCTACTGCATCTACAGGGTTGTTTGCTTTCCTGCCCATTACAACAGCAGACCTAAAACGGAATCGTTTTCTAATGACTGCTTCCTTGCAGAAGAAAAAAAAAAAAAAGCCGATGCTTCAATGCTCTGTTCATCCGATGATCTGAATTTACATAGAAAACCAAGGCAAACAAGCTCCACGATCATTGCCTGCCTCATAAATATGAAACAACTCACCATTGACCGCCTAGTGTGTGTACAAAACTCCCATGAGAAGCTGTAGCAAATTGTTCTTTATTGTTTTTGAGAATTCGTGTTTTGCCAGGAGTGGAAAGACATGAAGATTTCTTTATGTTGTTATACGAATATTTGAACAATGCCCATACCTGGTTTTGTTGCATGTTCGTTCTGCTGTTTGTTTTCCTCCTGATGTCCAGCTCTCCACTGAGTCAAGGCTTCCCGAAAGGACGGGGCAGACGCTTCTTCATCAAAAGGCCCTTCACACAAGGGCTTGCACCTTGGATTTGTACTTTCTCCTCCTTCTGCTGCTGTAGTTTCTACCTAGCAAGTTAAAAATGTAGCAAAGAGTATTTATTAAACATCCTGCATTCTATAAGACTTGAAAGCAGAAATATTGAATTCAGAAGAATATGTTTTTATATAACACTCATCTAAATACTTTATTGTTTTCTCTAAAACTCTATTGGTAGTTACGAATGGTCTTCTCAGAAGATGATAACGTAAGAAACTATAAACTGATGATTTTTATGTCTGTTCTTCCTCCTCTACAGCTGTTCCTGGTAGGTACACATTATCCATCCTTCTTCCTCCCCCAACCTTCTGCCCCTTATCTTCTCACGTTAGAGCAGTTTTGTGTTTAGGAGATAAGGTCTAATTCTCTATGTAGCCACGACTGTTCTCAGATTTGAGATATCTGAATTTTGTCTCCTGAGTTATGGGATTATAGGCATGCAATTATATTAGTTAATATGAGTATAGATTTGTGTGTGTGTGATTTTATTTTTTCGCTGTCAGTGTGCTCAAAACCTTTTAATTCTCTATAATGCAAGGTTTCTCTCAGGGTATACAAAGTGCCTAAAGTACTTTCCCTCTCCTTGACCTATACCGTCATTTCCTCTTTCCCCTATCACTCAACCGGCTATTCTTACAATCTTGGAGAAGTGTGAACCATCAGGTCAATTTCCTCTTCAGAGCCTTCTTTACACAGCGATTTTCCTCATGCTATTCAATTTCTCAAATATCACCTACATAGAGAGTTCTCCACTTAAAATCTTGGAAGGTTTTTTTTTTTTTTTTTTTAGAAATAAAAGGGAGACATAACAATGGACACTGTTGTGTCCAGGGAATCATCAGATTGTACTTCAAGAACCTGTAGTCTACAAAATTGGAAAACTTAAAAGAAATAGACAACTTTCTTGATAGCTTCCATAAACCACAATTAAATCAAGACCAGATAAGCAATTTAAATAGACCTATAACCCCTAAAGGAAATAAAGCAGTCATTAAAAGTCTGCCCACCAAAAAATGCCCAGGTCTAGATGACTTCAGCATAGAATGTTATAAGAATTTCAAAGAAGAGCAAATTCCAATACTTGCCAATTTTTTTCCACACAATAGAAATGGTACAAACATTGCCAAACTCCCTTTATGAGGCTACAGTTACCCTAATACCAAACCACACAAAAATGCAACAAAGAAACAGAAATACAGACCAGACTCTCTCTTGATCATCAAAGCAAATATCTTTAATAAAATACTGGCAAAATGCTTCCAAGAGCAAATCTCTACTGGATCTCTCTTGACACTAAATGAAACCTCTAGGAGTAGGAATTGGTTACATCTAATTTAGATGTTTGCCCAAGAGGCTCATAGAAACTCCAGATCAATTCAGGTTATTGTCAAGCTGATTAGTAGCTCTACACAAATTTCTATTAGATAATCATTTCTATCAGATTTTCATTTCCAAATGTGCATTATTTTGTCTCCTAATTCTTTTTTAATATTTATTTATTTATTATGCATACAATATTCTGTCTGTGTGTTATGTCTGAAGGCCAGAAGAGGGCACCAGACCTCATTACAGATGGTTGTGAGCCACCCTGTGGTTGCCGGGAATTGAACTCAGTACCTTTGGAGGAGCAGGCAATGCTCTTAACCTCTGAGCCATCTCTCCAGACCCCTGTCTCCTAATTCTTAACATTTTCTCTTTTTTTGTATGTTTACTGTTTTCTTCTGGTTTACTTGTTTTATTAACCTGTATATTTTTCTAAGAAGAGGGAGAACAAGGCATGAAATTGCATGTGGTAGGAGGTGTAGAGGAGCTGAGAGGTGATTACAGTGGGAAACTATGATCAGAATATACGGTATGAAAAGGAAAGACAAAAGTCTATTATCTAGATAAAATAGAATGCTTTATTCCTATGTATCATATCACCATTATGAGGCTGTAACTCATCCAGTGTTGGTTCACATACATCTTTGGCAGGTCTATGGGGAAAAGAAATACATGGAAATGTGCCCACATTCTAGAGAAGTTCACACATAGCTCCTTTGCAGGAAAGATATCATGCTGAAATAGAACACTTATGTACATTACCTTGAAACTCAAGAGACTTCATTTCAACCCAAACTTAGTAAAGTAACAATGCCTTGTGACTAAGTAAACCATAGTCTGTGAGCTACTGGAAAACCATGAATACTGACATGGGAAGTCCTTCTGTATATGCACTGCTTTTATTGGTTGAAGAAGCTGTTTGGCCTGTGATAGGGCAGATTAATGCTAGGCGGGAAAACTAAAGTAAATGCTGGGAGAAAGAAGGCAGAGTCAATGAGAAGCCATGTAGCCTCCAGAGGAGAAAGACAGGAGCTTCCAGCCAGAACCTTGCCAGTAGGCCATGAGCCTCTTGGTAAAATATAAAAATAATAGAAATGGGTTAATTTAAGATGAAAGATATATATATATGCTTACACTATTAGCCAAACGGTATTTCAATTAATATAGTTTAAGTGTGACTCTTTCGAGTCTGGGAAGATGGCAGCCTCCCCAAACAGAATACCGTGTAAGGGGAGGGGGATTAAAATGTCAGTCACAATGTAGAGTGTGTTTCTTGCTATAGACGTAATTGAAAAGGATTCTTTCCCTGGAAACTTCCTACTTTTGGGAAGGTTTTATTTAACTTTTCCTCAATAAATACAATCCATTTTTTAAAATATTGTTATGACTGTATGTCACACATCTATACATATATATACATGTATCATACATGTGAAGATTAAAATATATGTAGCACATTTTGTGATCGATAGTCAATCTGACAAACTGCCAGATTTTGGCACTCATCTACCTTTACACACTGATGAAACTGTCTATCGCCTAAGCCTTTGTATTTTGAGCATGTGAACATTCTAACTAAGACAAAGTTGTTATATTATATCCTTCATTTTATTTTAATGTTTTTCTCCAACATTCATGTAATTCATGTCAAGGTCAAAAGGCCCAGAATTTCACATTTTCAGTAAATTTTTATTTTAAAAAACAATTTTCAATGGAGTCAAAGTGATCTTAAAATGATTTTTATAGTCGAGTATATCCAGTTACTAAAACGAGTAAATAGTAACTCACAATATTGTAAAGTATCATCCCCAAATGTATATTTCTGGTAATGGACATGAATGGATGTTGATCAGGAAATAGCCTGCTTTGCCCTCAGTTTACCTCAGTGCTGTTGTCCTGAAGAAGTGGGGCTTTAGTTTTCTCTTGACTTTTACTGGATGCTTCTGGAGACGTATTCCCTTCATTAGGTGGATTTGCTTCCTTTATAAATTGATGAGCAACATCTAACACATTGGATAAGATTTGAGATTTTGCCTATTAAGAAAGGAAGAGTGTTGTCAACATGAATATAGGAGCCTAAGTATTTTACAAACAAAAAAATTAAGTTTACAGAGTTGTACAACTCAGTAAATTTAATAAAATTTAATTTTTACTTAAAAAACCATTTTGTTTTTTATTTATTTGAGATCATATAAAATTATATAATTTAACCCTTTGTATTTCTCCTTTCAAACTTTCCCATACACCCCATTGTTCTCATTCAAATACATACTATTTTTCATTTAATATTGCCACATGAATACAAGTATATATACTTGTACATACATTTATTTTCCTAAATATACCATGCTCAATCTGTACAATGTTACTTGGATATATGTTTTCAGGGCTGACAGTTTGGTATTAGATAAATAATTGGTATGCTCTTCCCTAAGGAAGTTGATTTCTTTCTTGACTCCCTGTATTTTTTTTTTTTTGTGCATTATTCAGGCCTTATGGGCTGTCCCCCCGCCACCCATGCGTTTTTATATGTCTATCGTTATTTTCTTTGTTCAAGCTCTTTTTTATGCATTCGTGTTTGTAAGGCATTAAGACTGCAGCTTTTAAAATTGCTAAGAGAAAAAATCCCACAGCAAATTCCTGGAACCTATAGCTCTTTCATTCTTTATGGCTTCTTTTCCTCAAGTATTGAAGCTATTTTTATAGGTGTATTTATTGGGGCTAAACTTCATGCTTCTACATTTTGATTGCTTGTGGTTTTCTGTCCGTTGCAAAGAGAAGTTTCCTTAATGCATTGTGAAGACTACTCTGACCTGTGGGTAGTGAGTAGTAAACAAAAATTTAAAGTGTAATTAGGTAAAACGTTGGTTTAATAACATGGCAATTGTAGGTTCTCCTCCAAGATCCGTACTTTCACTAACTCTGAGTGGTTGGGTAAGATTCCAGTACCAGGCATGATTTCCCTTTGACTGGAAGCTCTTATGTCCAACTAGAGTGTTGCTCCTGCCACTATATGGGAGCCACTGCTGTACCCTCAGTGTTATTGTGCCGTGTTGGTAGTTACTGTCGTTTGTGGACACCATGGCTTGGAAGAACTGTTGGCTGCTTCCCTCCTTTGGAAGCTTGCCTTGTTTCATCTGATATCAACCATCCTAACAGTGGCAGCCATATACTGAAGGCAATATTTGAGACCCATAATATTCTAACTATCTTTATCTTGTTATTTTGTTATTGAAAATCTCAAGTGTAACCAGCCTTTTTATTTTTCTGTCTTAGGGATAAAGCAACACGCGCTCAGAAAGTTTAAATTACAGCCTTTGGTCACATAGTCAGTGGGAAGCAGAGAAGGGATGTGTGCAAGTCTAACGATTCATAGCTTTTCCACTATGATACCCTCAAACAGAATGCTGTGTTACATTATATATGCTGTGGCAAAAAAGAAAACGCTAAATATATCACATCTATTAAGATCCTAGTTGCATTGCAATGAGTTTTCCTTTGTAACAAAAAAAAAAGCACATACTATCCAGATGTAGACAGCAGAAATTTTTCTCTGTGTACTTTTCTAAAATGCCAAGTCATTCCACATTTTATGTCTTCACTCCAGGGGTGACCTACAGGAAATGCTCTGCTACTGTATCTTTATCTTCATCCTGTTGGCCTCCAAATATCCCACATCTCCCTCTAAAACCACCCCTTGCTTTTCTACAGTGCCTTGACACCTCCCCTTCTATTTTATGACACCTAGAGATCTTTACCATCATTTATTCTATTGATTTCACATCACCATTTGGCATGTGTCCGTCTTATCATTTTAAGAAGTTCATGGAAAGGAGCTTTACTAAACCTTGCACAGCTATCACTGTGTTCACTAAGTGGTGATTGGTAAAAATAATAATAATAATAATAATAATAATAATAATGTCTAAAAAGAGGTAAAAGCTGCAGAGATTTTAAAATGAATTGAAAAATGATGTTAAAAATAACTATTCTTATGTCTCCTCAGGGCATGACTCTAGACAGGGGAAGCTTGAAAAGGTTTATTTTCTGGGAAGTTTCCTATCAGCAGGTAGGCTGCTCTGTCCCATGACTCTATAAAATTTGAACGAATTGGATCTAAATTTCAACTAATTTGCAAGAGTGAAACACAGAGTCTCCAAAGACTCTCTAAGATACTGAGCATCCGGAACAAAAAATATGGATCTCACTTATCAGAAAGTATAAAAAAAAAAAGAATAAGAGTACAATAAGATTTAGACGTTACTGTTTTCTCCTCTGCCATGGCAATATTCCTATTTTAAAATATTCACCTAGTTAAAAAGATTAATTTGCTAAAATTTTATTGAAACTCTTCAGTTGTGACCTTCTACAAATCTATTAAGATCCATTGCAACCTGAACTAGTGATAAATCAGTGCTTATCAAGCCAAGCAGTTTTATTTCACACTGAATTTATAGACTACCCATGAAAATATGACTATGTGCCTGACATACATGTATTACTACATGTCCCGTACACTGACTTGTGTCAGCTTCTCCACATTTCCGCAGTGAATACCCACACAAATATGTGCAGCTTTTGTTTTAGATGACATTTAAGCCAGTGATAAAGATCAGCCTTAAAGAAACAACTGTGTTTTAGTCATTACTTTTATTCCAAAAAATAACTGAGCAGGAGTCTGATTGAAAATTACCAGGAAAAATGCCTGCGAATCTTAAAAGCACTCACATTGTTTGGCTTTCATATAATAATTATAAAATATCAAAAGTATAGTAAATATTATAGAAAATCATTAAAAGTATAGATAAAAAATGCCAACAAGCCTTATTCTTGCTCTAATATGAATCCTGATACCAATATTCCAATACCTTTATAATATCCTTAAATAGCATATTAAATATCAATTTATGGCAAAAATATATATTGAAGTTAATTTACTGTCAAATGGTAGTCTTCGCCTTTAGAGGATGGCAGACTGCATAGAGAGATGTCTACTAGGGTCTTTGGGAAATGGACCAGCAAAAGTTGGAGAAGAGTTTTTAGAAATAAACCTAGCCAACGGCATGAAATGCCTGTGTAATGGAAATTTTAAAATACTGAAGAATGAAATTGATGAAGGTTCTCCTTTCTAGAAAATGAAAAAACCTCCCATATTTTCCCATGAATTGACAGAATGAATATTGTGATAATGCTATCAAATCAGAAAAGCTCTAATGGTTTGTGAAATGCCTATAAAACTTCAAATGATAGTCTTCACAGAGAAAAAAAAATACTTACTATCCATACAAAAGCTCAAAATACCCAGGAAGTCAAAACAATCTTAATCAATTAAACGTTTAATGATGTCATGTTTTATTGGAAAGTCATTGTACCAAAAACATCATGACTCTGATGGGAAAAGATAGACCATGAGAGAAATATAGAAGAGCCAGGAGCAAACTCATTCAGCTACAGTCAACTGATCTTGGACAAACATGGCAGAAACATACATTTGTAAAAAGACAGCACGTTAAGCAAATGTTTCTTTTAAAACAAAAAGAAAGGAAACTGAGTATTCACATCCAGAAGAATGAAGCTAGACAACTCCCTTTCTAAAATAAAATAATATTTTAATTAGTTTTTGAGAAGTTTGTGTAATGGACTTTGTTTCGTTACCTTCTACTTCTTCCATAAGTTCTCCAAAATTCACAAACACTTCTCTACTTCCTCTTATTCTGTACCTTTTCTTGTATTTTAAAATGACCTATTTAGTCTAATTTGTGCTGTCTATACACTAATGGATGTGGAGTCATCCACTGGAGCATGATCACCTGAAAGGGCCACACCCTTAAATAAACCTGACCCCTCCAGAAGCCATCAGCTACCTATAACTCCACAGGTAAGGTTTATGGGGTGAAGTCCCAGCTATTTGTGTACAAATAAACAAAGCAAAGAAAAAGAATGAAAATGGATTAAAGACCTTAATTTAGTACCAGAAATGTATTGGGGAATACTACAAGTTTTTCTAGACACATTACAGTAGCTCAGGAAATTGTTACTAGAATAACAAATGAAATACATAGAATGGCAAAGGTTTTGCACAGCTAAAGAAAAAAATATTTGAGTTTAGAAGCACCCTACAGAATGGGAAGAATCTTTGTCAGATATGTATCTGACAGAGGACTGACATCTAAAATATAAAACCCAGTCAGTGACTGATCTACTGAAATGATGGGACTGTTCTCAGAAGAAGAAGTACAAAAGACCAAGAAACACTTAAAAATATGATTGGGATTTTCATCCTCTAGTTTGAATGATATTTAAAACTACCTTTAGATTCTTCACCCCGGTTAGAACGATGATCGTTCAAAATTAAAACTCCCTCAGAAATCCCATCAAGGGTGAAAGAAAAAGGGAACAGCTGTATCTAGCTTGTGAATTACTAACTGAATATCGTTGAAATCGGTATGGGGGCAACACAAGAATCAAAAAGAAAAATTAACAGTCACCCAATGGTACCACTTCTGGATGCATATTCTCTAGGAACTTTAAGTCAGCATACAGCAGAGATACCATCACTTCCATCTTTATGTAATACCATGCACAATAGCCAAGTAATGAAATCAGTCTCATTTTCAATGACAAATAACATATAAATATTATGAGGTATATGTATACAAAAATGAATTCTTGTTCATAAATAAAATTGTTATCTTATGGAAAATAGACACAAGTGCATACTAGTTGAAACATATCTGATGTAGAAAGATAAGCATGTTTTCTTCCATGGGTGAAATGTAGAATTCTGGATATATGAAGTAATATATAATCACTGAATGTTGGGGGGAACAGGGAGAGGAAAGGTCTAATGGAAAGGAGGAGGAGGAGGAAAAAATTGGGGCATGAAATGGAAGTAAATGGAATATGGTCAAAATTGTCTTGTGGTTAAGAATGTTTCATACTCATCAAAGGACAAATTCACCATATAGTAAATTTTATTATATGTAAATATAATAAAAGCTGTATACAGCAAACAGTCAACATCAGATTAAATG